GTTTGCGTGAACTTGGGTGTCGACAGATGGGATTTTGCAACAAAAGTAAAGACTATTAGGATTTCTAACGTTTATATAAGGAGTGTGTAAGGAGAAACAATGATAACAAATTAACGTATACTCACAGCTACCAGAGAAAACTCCATATCTATATTAATTTATATTAAGTAGCTTCAATCACAATATACTTTGTTTGGAGAAAGGAAAGAAATACAATAATTAACAGAAATCTAGGGATAAATATGTTGGATATAAACATGTTTATAAGATCAGATATCTCTACAGTATGCCCATCAGTGTGCATAAAATTAGTTGTCATCTAGATATGTGCAACCTCAATTTCAAATAAAGCTCATTTAGCGATTTAAAGATTTGATAGTTGACTCATGACCTTAGGCATGAGAGAGAAAAAACAAATGTAAATGGGAACTATTTGAATGAATAATTTCATAATACAATTATTTCGGTTTTTACGACGCAAACTCGCAAGATTGTTAGGACCAGCTTTTATGAAATCTACCGATGAATTGTGACCACTGATTTATGTGCAATACATTTCGGTTGCAAATCTACAACATTCCTTAGGCATGGAAGTTTCTTGAGTTGTCTTTTAAATTCGTTCCGATATTCCGTACTGCAATAACATTTTTTCACAGCTATAGATTCAATCTATTAGTAGTGCTATGAACTAATATTGAGGATACTCTTCCAAAACAAAAATATTTCAATTAACATATTTCTTTTTTCAATGTCTTACAAGGTTAATTTTCACCTTCTCCAGTAATAAAACAACCAACTGCATGAAGCGCTTATATTAATAAGTATTCCACTATAGCATATCATATAAAATGTCGTCATTTTGGAAATATCCAAGAACACTGCCGACACATAGACCACCAATGTTGTAAAATGTCCCAGTCCCATAAATGCCACGACTATCTTCAACGTTTGCAACAACTCGAAATTTCTAGTTGCTGAATAAGAAGTAGGACAATGAATTCTATGGAGCCACTTTGGTATTCATAATTAATTAGCTTTCATGAATCAGATGTCATCTTATGCACCTGAATAAGAGGATAGAAGGTAGGGTATAGCGGTGACATGAATACACGGTTCAATGATAGGGATATGGGGCAAGTATTGCTCAGGGTGATATTTTACTTTACACGCATTTTGGTAATTAATCAAAGAGCTCACTTGTTTTAGCCTTCACTACAACTCGACTCAATATTACATAAAGTATAATTGTTGATAAATTAATTAGAGTTGACGAAATGCCCCAAATCGAATCTAACTGACCACTATATACCGCCACCAAAACACAGATTACTTCGTCACTGCAAGCAAAATGGCAAGACCAATGGTTAGTGAGAAAATAAGTAGGGGATAAAGCACTTAGCATGCATTTTTATTGAACATCTTATACAATTTCCTTTACTCAGATTTTGATATTAATGTCCTTTTCCCTTTTAATAACAAAACTTTATTCAAGCTCATTCTCATCATATCGCTTTTTTCCTTAACAAGGTAAATAAATTTGTACCTATCATCCAAAAGCAAACAAAGCAAAAAATTTTCGGGACGAGGTCAATTGTGATTTTGTTGATTGATCTCAACAGAAAGTGTTGTTCTTGCATGCTCAGATATTTTAACCCTATTCAGTTAATCAAAATATTCCGGTAGTGCCCACTGATTATGCGTTAAAAATTTAACTTACTCGCTATTTCCGCCATATATAAAAACCAATATGAGCATAGCAATTGAATAAAATAAAGCTGGTAGGACCATTGCTGGGATATAAAATTTCATCCTCATTTTTCGATATCTGCAAGTAGCCATTACAGTTCTTATCCATAAATATATTCGATTTCAGAATGAAAAAACAAATTATTAAGCTTCGCCATTTGAGAAGCGTTCTATCCCCCATAGAAAGATTAAAGTTACTTGTCCCGTCGAAATAATTACCTAACAGGCTTTAAAACAGCGATAGCTCGATCTATGCCGATAGGAAATAATATAGTCATTGCAAAATTTAGACCGAAATTCGGTATTAACTGTATCCAAATGCATGTTCGTAAAGGTGTAAAAGTGATTCCGGTGAAAATAAAGTATGCAAATGGGATATGGCCGATCTGATGAAGAATGTCACCAAATGCGTTCAGTGCTATGAGTATATTGTTGGCATTATGCAGACGTCTGAAATCTTTATGAATTATAAGAATTCGACAATTAATTTAAAGTTTGGGTTTGAAATTTCCGAACTTGAAACTGAGAATGGGAAAGGTTGCAGAAATTTGCTACGGAAAATGTTGTAAATGATGATCGCAACCTTCGTAAAATTCGTACAAGCACATTAATAGAGTTTTCTTTTTCAGTCCCTATCTTCCCTCTTTTCGTTCTCTAAAACGTTCTCTGAATTTCTGAATTCTTTATTTCGGTCCTGTCCGATTTTATTCGGGTAACAATAGCCGCTTTAACCTCTTTCTATTCTTCATTATATTCTGTCCGAAACTTATCGAACGGCACGGTCACCAAGCTGTTATCATGGATCAAATGATAATCAGTGATCAAAGAATAATCATTAAGTAATCAATCAATGATATACTTGCTCTGAATCGTAGCTACAATAAGCGTAGTATTGCCAACGAAGCCAGTTAAAAGACATAATAGAATAGTGCATATGCATGGCAGAATCGGTACCAACACCGCCATTTGACCTCTTTATTAACCTTCAACTGGAATCGTTTAAACTTAATTTAAATTCATAAATAGCGTTTTTACACATGATCCCACTTCCTAAATTTATTTCAACTTCTTGCATAACTCATTTATTGATGCATGTAAAAATGCGATTATTATAGCTATATATGCATATGAGCGGAGACTTGGGAAATTATTGGATGTCCATAAGCACATTGAACATATTCGAAAAAAGTACAGAAGTTCAGAGTGATTATTATATCAGAAAAGTCTGAATGCTTTGTAATAGGTGAAAAGAGTTGAGTGAAGTACGAATACAACGCATCTTATGGTTTGACTGAGAAATCTTCATTAACTCTTTCATTATAATTAATGCTTTATGATGAAATTTTGTGAATAGACGGAAATATCAATTTCCTAACGTCCTTTGTTAAGCCTATTTTAACAATTAATTCATGTCGTTCAACGATTTGATTTATACACGGTTGGTCGATGACGATGAATAGCTGAATTGAGAGAATCTGTAATGATGTATATTCCTGCGACTTTTGATATGATTAAAAAAATAGTTGGAAACTCCTGCATCGTCAAGTTGTTATATTACAGAAGGTTAATTCAAAGAGAGTTACATTATTAACTAGTCCAGTCTACCTATTACCACTGTGACATAAATATTAACATTAAATAAACATCAAATAGTAAATGTCCAAGAATATTTAATATTAGTTCTTGGATATTTACTATTTGATGTTCATTTAATACTTAATATTAGTTCTTGGATGTTAACTATTTGATGTTCATTTACTATTTAATAATAGTTCTTGGACGTTGACTATTTGATGCTCATTTAATATTTAATATTACTTCTTAGACAGGAAGAATTAACACATGAATGGTTTACCGGAAATGTGCATCATATATATTAACCATTGAATAGAAGTATGGTTATCAGATTGAAGATTCCATTTTTATTAATATATTCCACTTCTCAAACATTCCATTTATTGCATATAAACTTGCTTATCAGAGAAAAGACAATTAAGCTTTGTTATCAAACCGGAAAATAAATGTTCATTACTTTAGTCACATGAAAGGATTTTTTTATTTGCTTTTTTTTTGTAATCATTTTTATCTGACACATTTTAAATAAAACACTCTTTTATACTATAAATTTCTATATTATTTCTATAATCCAAAACATTATTTTGATATATTATTTCGATTTTTACCGACATTTCTTCCTTGATCATCTATCATTCATTTTATCATTCCCTCTCTTTATTCTATCTCTTCCCCTCTGTCTCCCTCCATCGCTCATCTACCATTTACTTTATCATTCCCTTTCTTTCTCTCTTTAAAAAATTGTCATCTGGAATTGGCGTAACTGATAGTTTTAACACATTCATCACATCATCTAATTGTAATGGATGAGAATATCGGATGGATGAATTGATATAAATGGAGAGAGAAAGAGAGAGAGAGAGAGGAGGGAGAGAGAGAGAGAGAGAGGAG